CCCAAGCCCACATTTCAAAACCCAAATATTTTTGAGCTTTCCATGTTTTATTATTCTTCCCAATTAGAAAACAAAAGCAAAAATATGGAACAGACATTCTGATTTTCATACACTCTGTTTTCAAATAACCAGGAATAGCATAAGCAAATTTCCATGCTTTGGAAAATCCCTTTTTAACCAAAAATGAAAGGAAAAACAAGCAGAAGGAAGCAACATTAATGTAAGCTTTAGTGCTACGTATTTTGAGTTAGTATTTCTCTTATTTTCTTTAACTGTATTTGTCTCCACATTATTAATTTTGTCCCATTATGTGAATGACAAATGCATTCTTTTATCATATAATTACAGTTTATTCTATGAACAATGAAATATCTGTTACATGACATTATTTGGCTGCTACAGACTACTTAAAGAAATGTAGGGACTGAAAGGAAATAGTGAAGTAAGATTTTTTTTTTAAATCGAAGATTTTTGTATTCCCATCACAGTTCTGCAGTTCTCCAAGCCAACAGGATCAATTAATTACAGACTTAAAGGAAATAAAGGAATACCTGTCAGCTCCATTTTTTTTAAGAGAATTCAGAGAATTCTCTCAAAATTCAGAGAAACACATGTTGATACAAGCTCTCCAGTCTAAAAAAAAAAAAGAATTAAAATCTGGCATTTTTATAACTTTCCGTTCTAAGCTCATGGTATATAGAGAGTTTTCTGCTGAATGTAGCAGTTTTTTCCTGCCTTTTGAAGAATACGAACATTAGATGTTCCAAAAAGCTATGACGAATTCCCAGCATAAACATTTGTGCAGGGGGTTCGGTACGGGTTTTGCTCTGCTTGTTTCCCCACTTGAGAGCCAGCTCTTCAAGAAGCATGCTGATGACAGAGCAGGACAAAGAAGCAGCCTGCAGAACAAGAGCAACATGGAAGCAGAGCCTTCCTCATTTATTCATTCTTGTATTTTCTGTTCTTTTTAAGCCAGGCATGGAGAAGGGAAAGGCCACTGATACTTTCCCACAATGATTGTTGCGCAGTGGGAGGTCCATCCCAGCTGTACATTTCTACCTAATTGCAAAGAAATGCTGGCTTCGCCTTTGAAGCCTTGGAGCAGAGCATCTCCAGGCTGCTTGGCAAGCAGGGCTTGTGGGAGGATATGCAGATAGTCTGGGGAGAACTCAGCATAGATGAGCTAAGCCCCTACATGCAAAGTGAGGCTGTGCAGAGACTTACTCACCACTAGGTCAAATGTGGGTGTATTATTATGAGATACCACAAAAGGCATATCCCTGACATCAGCATGGGAGATTTGCAAAATCTCAAATGACTGCTCCCAGTCTGGAGGCTGAGGTGCTTCTCTGTAGGTTCACTGGCAAAATTACTTTCTTTTAACAAGAGAGAACAGCAGATTTCACAGTGTAAGTGTCCCAGCAGTGAAGTAGATGATTGCAGGAACAACCTCAGCACAAGAAACTGAAGAAGTTGAAGAACTGTTACCAGTAATATTAAAAAGCATTATCTAGTGGCAAGGCTGCTTTCGGTAAACCCAGGCTTCTTCCACCTCTTACCACGCTGTTGTTTATTGTTTACATTTTAACAGTGAGTTTACCATAAGTGCCTCTTCTCCAGCTCTTGTTACCTGGGCCGGCTCACTCCTGACGCTCTGTTCACCCTTAGGGAAGAAAAAAAGGGCTGCAACTGCTTCAGCAAAGCTGAGCAGGTAGGAAGAAAGGAACAAAGGGGTATTTACCTGAAGTAAGGCTAGAAAAGATCCATGCAGGACCAAGAGACACACATCAGGAAATCATAGCCATTGTTTTCTCCCTCCTTCCCACCACTTCTGTCTCTTCTATATTACCACAATCACACTGGGGTTTTCTAGAGTCTGAATTGTAGGAAAATTCAGAAAGTTCTGGCTGCAGCTGAGGTTAAGTAAGGTGACATCAGTCTCCTCCACATGTGGTAACCTCTTTCCTCATAGAAGTGAGCACAACCGTATATATGCCATTCCCCAGCAAAGTTGTAACAACCAAATCTCAGCTTTTAGAAAACTGTTAGGAGACTCAAACTGGCTGTGATCGTGTTGGCAGAACTGTAAAAGTACAGGAAAAAAATGATAGTTGCAGTTATGCCTACAGATATGAGGAGACTGCAACCTCCAGCTGAAGGAACAGTGATCAGAAAACAGAAGACAGAGGATAAACAACAAAGATGCAGGGCTTGCCAAGAAAAAAAACAATGCATCTGATTCCGAGATCTCTAGATGGTGCACAGTGTTTGTGTTCACCTGCAATGATGAACATGACAGCGAGCAGCCCCATCCTGATCAAAGCTCCACTCTTGTCTGGCATCATAGACTGTGGAATGATTTTGTTCCTGGAACTATTCCCTAATTAATAAACATCAACACATTCATCTAAATGAAAGGGAAGGCTTTCCGGTGCCCAGACAATTATCCTCGAAACATTAGGGCCATAATAAGAACCCAGCATGGAAAATTCAGATCTATTAAGGATTAACACACAACAAAGGGCACTGTTACAGGCCTGAAGAAGTTGTCCATCTTCAGTTAGTGGTAGAGCTCAGAGAAATGGACCACACTAAGAGCAGAGGAAGTACCGGCTAGTCATGAGGAGGAGGAGAAAACAGGAATACAGCAGGGATGATGCGATGGTGGGGAAGAAGCTCCATAGGAAAGCTGGTCTCAGGGGCTATAATAAGACAATGTGCATAATTGCCTTTGTAAAAAGGAAGTTGCTCAATTCTGCTCCACTTTACCTAGGAGGTCACATATAAAAGCTCTGTGATATTCAACAGCCAAAAGTCAGTTTGCGCTGGGAAATAATTGAATCCGGAGCAGAATCCCCAACAGCTCTCTCTAAATGTTGTATTCACTTGGATTTTTCATCTGATAATATTAAGAGTTTCTTCCACAGTGCTGTCTTAGGCAGTCAGCACAATGTGCGACAATAATTTAATAAGTATAACCAATATGCAGACGTGCAAATGTCCCAAAGTCAGCGGAAACTGTTCCGTTACACAGGCTGGTAAGTGAAGTGAGAAGTCTGTTAAAGGCTCTGAATGACTCAAGCACTGATGTCAAAACCAAAAGTAGTTCAGGTCAGCTTTAACACGTATTTCTTTCTCTCTTGCTGTTTGTTCCTTTCCCATCTGAGCAAGAGTGTGCGACCTGCTTTGTGAGGAAGAGAGCGTAAGTTCCAAACCCCTCAAAAGAGAACAGTGGTTCAAGAATTGCATTACAATTTTCTTTACATCTACAATTTCACAAGCTTCAGATTTTTCAAATGTGAAACTTAAATGAAAGATCTCTGGATCTTCCCGCTTTCATGCTGGAACCAAGGATACAGGATCTGTAGCTGCTGCCATAGTAGGGCTGAGTGTTAAATGTTCACCATACATAACACTGCCCTTGAAATAAAAGCAATAGTTATTTTAAGTAACCATAAACAATACTCATGTGCAATTCAAAGCAGATCGGATATAAAGAGATAAAGATTAGAGTACAGCAATACGGCTTTCATTATACAATGTAATCCAGCATGTCTGATATAAGTGGATGTGACACAAACGTAAATAGCAACAGGTTTAGAAGCATGGCATTTTCCAAGATAGAGTAATAGCATGCATTCAGAAGTAACTTTAAATGATTTCCCAAATAATGTTTGAATCAATGCTGTGTTTTTTAAAGCCTCCACACACTTGCTAAAAGTATGACATACAAGTAGTTAGTCATGTTTCATGAGATCACAGGGAAATGCTATTTGCATTTGAGTAAGAATGGAATACTTAATGTTTCAGATAGAAGTCAGTATCAAACACATGGATCCTGGACATTTGGAGAAGTAGAATGATTTTATAGCAAAATAGGGCATTTCTGAAGAAAACCTATAGAAGTTTAACACAAAGTTTAAATAGAATTTTTGCTTCAGAGTAAGAAAAAAATGACAGATCCACCACCTGGTGACTTAACACTGCTTCTTCACTGAACTACTGGATTCAGACGTAATTTGCATCATACACAAGTAAAATGTTTGACTTCTAAAAATCAATGATTTTATTAATAGCTTCACTCAAAGAAATTAACATGACAAAACAAAAATATTTATCAAAGCACTTAAAAATAAACATGTAATGAATACTAACCCATTCCAAGAAGAACTGCTTATTATAATTTGATCACACAGCACACTAAGCAATGGGAATTTAGCCCACGAATTTTGGAAGATGCTTCTATAAAAGGCCAATATTTTCCACACTTCTGAAAATAAGATGAGACCTTGACTACCACTTATTTCTCAAAATGAAAGGATGAATGTAAGTAAGGGTATCTTTTAAAAGTCGTTTGCAAGGGGCCATGAACCATTCCAGTACTTTTTTTATTCTGATTTACTGGAAAACAATCACACCAATTATTTTCAAGAATGTCTCAATGTTTCCAAGTTTCTAAATGCCTACAATGTGTACCATACATTAACCATCAGCACACACTGTTAGAGCTCTCCAGAAAACCCATGCCCACCTCCTGCAAAATCTCAGGATAGAAGTTCTGCTTTCCTCAAGTCTCAGGATACAAGTCCTGTGTTCCTCAATCACAAATCACACCCACATCAGTGCCTGAAATATCCCAGACTGCTCTCCTCTATTCCTGTTCCTTCCTTCTTTCTGCTCTTATACCTGTGTTCCCACTAAAAATACTTCCTTTCGCATAGTAAGTTCTTTATCCTATCAATCACTGCGTAATTTGAACCAAAAACGAAAGTGCATTTAGAATTGCATAAATATAAATGATCACCTTCTTTAGGAATCAATTCAAATATGTAACAATTTTCACAGTCTACATTTAGGATATTACACATAAGCTTTGTGATTATGTTAATGCCAACCTTAACAGCAGCATTTTTCCTGGAATACCAGAAATGCAATGCAGCTGATGAGTTCACAGATGCTGATCTTGCCTGAAGACTCGTCAAGAAATGGGTACCCTGTACCTGGTAGCAGCAAAGCACAGCAGCAGCACCTCACGCTGTATTCCACACATGCTACAGCAGATGAGTGCAGCTCCTCCTTCCTTGTCCTGTACAAAGTCAAAAACATTCATTTAAGCCAGTAAAAAGGAAGTGAAATTCCCAAAAGCCTGGCCTTAGCTGACTCTCAGCTGAGATTTGTGCCAGCTACAGCTGCTCTCCTGAATGAACAGCAAGGGCTAAGCCCAACCTTTATGGCTTATGACACATACAGCACTGCAGCAGATTTTAGAGCCCACTCAGTAGCAGCAGAGCAGTAGTATAACAGAGCTTTACCTAGGTGAAATGTGGCAACAGGCTGCAGGCTGACTCACAGGCAGAAGGTGGCAATGACAATCCCAAATCCTCTTCAGCACAGGCATAAACAGAGCGACCAGCAGCTTGATAGGTTTAAATCACTTATTTGACATGGCCTTATAAAAACAAGGAAGGCTGAGACTGTCAGGAACACGTGCAAGAGAATTTAAGAAGTAGCCAGCTTTTTCGCTGCAGTGAAAGCATGCCTGGCCTCCACAACTCCAGGTTCTAATTCATTCTTTCCCATCCGTGTGATGAGATTGTTGCCAGCTAGCAGAGTGGCCATCACGCCTTCTCCCAAACTGATGTACTATTTAAATCACATGGGGCTTGAAATTAAGCATGCCACTCCCTTGAGAAAGAGGGGCAACAAGCACAAACTGGAACACAGGAAGTTCCATGCAAATAGGAGGTATTTCTTTACTGTGAGGGTGATAGAGCACTGGAACAAAACTGCCCAAAGAGGTTGTGAAGTCTCCTTCTCTGGAGGCATTGAATACCCAGTTGGATTCTTTCCTGTGTAATCATCCACTCTAGGAAACCTGCTTTAGCAGAAGGGTTGGAATAGATGATCTCTAGACATCCCTTCCAACCCCTATAATTCTGCAATTAATTATCAACAGAAGTTGATCACCAGTGCAGCCTTAGTACTATTTGTGGTGGTACAACTGGACAGTCAGTAGAATAAATGCACAGACAAGAGCAAGAGAAGGCTGCAGATAACTGCTGGGTCTTTTAGAAGTCCAACACACTCTCTATATTGGTCTTTGGAAGAGAAACCAATCAGAGAGCTAGAATAGACTGAGAATCCCAGGGAACCTTTAGATATTACGTGGGCACAGCCAGATGCTGAGAAAAATCCCATCTACTTCAGGCCTGAAAACTAGGCATTGAGTTACACTGACAGCTGGCAAGAGCCAATATGCCTCTAATCATACAGCTTAAGCCCAAAGCTGCTACATTTCTTAAAGAAAAATGAGTAACACAAAAACACAATGATAATAATATGCTTATTATCAGTCTACTTTTCAGACACCCAAGTTTTACTGTTCTGCTGTAAACTTAACTGTCCAACAGTGTTTGCCCACATACAGGAAAGGAAAACACAAGGAATACTGGAGGTCAACCCTGTAGGCTTGGAGGACTACTGCAAGCCCAAACTGTGCTGCGAAGCACTGACCAGACCCAGAGCTCTGACTGCTCCTTGGTTAAATAATTCATCACCCAGCTCAATTTGTAAAACTTGTTGTTGATTTCTAAATTAAAAATAAATTCTGTAATAATGTGATATAGGCTCCTAACAGGACAGGAAAATGATAAACTCCACTACTCTAAAAGGATTTCATGAGTATGATTTATGGTAAGGAGCATCACAACTTGAAACACCTTTGCATTATTATTTTATATACATATATATCTTCTGTTAACTATCTAGTGTATTTATGATCTTGTAAAAGCAATCTGACTTCAGCTAAAAGACAAACGGTTTTACTCTCCATCATTGCCTAGAAATGGGACCTCCTGCTTGATTGTTGTAAAGATTAAGTACACATTGTATTAGATTCTCATTACAGACCAATACAATTATCAGTCAGTCTTCACACCAAATAAAGGTGCAAGAGACATAAATCTAGCTATTAATGAACTGAAAACTAAGCAAATTCTGAATGACAGCCACCAATCTGACTGTGTAAACTTTAATAATCTGGGTTCCTTGGAGTGTTTTTCTCTCAGTCCTTCCTGCAGTCACTCCATATCATTAAGGCTAGAAAAGACCACTAAGAACATGTAACCATCAACCCTTCCCCACCATGCCTGCTAACCATGTCACTCATTGCCACTTTTACACATTTCTCAAACACCTCCAGAGACGGTGACTCCACTGCCTGCCTGGGCAGCCCGTTCCAATGCTTCACCACTCCTTCTGAGCTGAAAAATTTCTTAGTATGCAACCTCAGATACCCAAGTCCAGGTGAACCAGCCCGGATGTCTTGTTTACTTGGCCTAACTTCTAAAAGATGACCTCAGAAGACTGTAACTGCATTTGAAGGACCTTTATCTTGAAGTCCATCGACACAAACCCAACTTTTCTTTTTCAAACACGCGACGCTGACCTCTGGCACTGAGACCAACGGGATGTACCTGTCTGACTCAAACCCACAACACACACCAAGCCTGGACATCCCCCGCTCTGCGGGAGAAGAGTAATTTCTCCACACCTTTCCCACGGCAGGCGGAAGAGCTCAGAGCTGAAGTCACACACCTGAAAGGCGTCAAGCAGGGGGAAGGCAGCCGGGCTCTGGCAAATCTCCCCGAAAGGCCCCGATCGTGGGCTGCCCCTCGCGGCCGCGGCCGCCACCATGTTGGCTCGGTGCGCGGCGCCGCCGAGGAGGGGTCCGCCCGGCTCCTCCCCGCGGCCTCTGATCGGGCGGGGAGCTTCGCCGCGCCTCACCCGGGCGCCCGCGGGCAGCGGGGCGAGGCGGAGCGCGGCGGAGGAGGGGCCGGAGGTGCCCGCCGGAGAGCCCGGCCGTAGGGGCGGGGAGTCTCCTCCTCCCGCCGCCAGGCTCCGGCTCCTCGCACGCACCGGAGCGCCCGGCTCCCTCCTCCTGCTCCTTTTCCCTCCTCCCTTCCCCTCCTCCCCCCCTTCCCTCCCCGGGTCGCCGCGGCTCCGGGAGGTGCGGGGGGGGCCCCGCTTCCTTCCCTCTCCCCCTCCTTCTCCCACCCGCGCCACTGAGGACGGGCAGGTGAGCACCCGGCCGCGGCCCCGTCCCCCCACCTCCCCCGCCCCGCGGGAGAGGCGGCCTCGATGGCGGCGGCGGCGGCGCCCGGCTGAGCGCTAGGCCCCGGCCGCCCGCGCCCGCCCCCGGCCTCTCCCCTCGGGGCCGCCCGCCTCGCCCCCACCCCCGGGTGGGGACCTCGGCCCCTTCGCGCAAACTTTCTCCGCAACTTTCTGCCCGGCCCCGCGGGGGGCTCGGAGCGTCGGGGATGGCTGCGCGCCGCCCCGACCGGCGATGGCCGCGCCGGCTCCGGGCGCTGCTGGAGCGGCGCTGGGGCGGAGGGACGGAGCGCAGGAAACGCGTTCCCGCCTCGGCTCTCGCTCGGCCGCGCGTGTGTCGTTATCTGCTGTTTTTCGCTCGGTGCTCGACTCGGTATCGCTCCACCTAGCAGGAACCCGACTGCTTTAAATTTCTGAGTCATTAATTTAAATGTGCCATCATAACACTTCGTCAGTCCCCGTCGTGTTCCTGGCGATTTAGGAAAAAAAAAAAAAAAAAAAAAAAAATACAATTGATGTAAAGCCCGATTCCTGCAGTGCAACAACTTTCTGCGTGTGAAGTTATGTGCAGGAGGACGGCTGCTCGTTTTCTTTCTCTCTCTTGCACGGCTTGAAGAACGTGGATTTATTGCGTTTGTTTCAAGATGGGACCTTCCAGATGCCTGATGTGGCACGTATGTGCCACTTTGTATCGGGAGTAAGTGGGGTGTGAACGTGTCTGACCCTCGCAGAAGTTGAGGAAGTTTTTCCAGGCCTACCTGCTGCATTTGAGCCAAAGCAGAGGGTAGCATTAGTTAAAAACATATTTGAATGCACTTAAATGGGCGGAATGGTCCCCAAGTGGTTTAGAACGTAGAGCGTGTTGCCAAGGGAAGTGTGTTGTATTTCTCTTAATAGTTCATAGACAGCTGAATGAAATTTCAGTAAAGTTTTGCAAGCAAAATTGACCTTTAGTCAAGAAAGCAAGATAAAAAAAAGCTTACTTTGGAGCCTTCTCTTTCATTTTTGAAAGGTATGACTAGGAAGAGGGGTTTACAATTAAGTTGTGTTGTTGGTTACATTTGCAGTGTGTGATGTACAGCATTGCCATAACTCAGTGTTACTGCAGACTTGATATAAGTGTAAGAATTGTTCCTTTCAAGCTGACAAAACAGAATACAGAATCATAGGATTGGAAGGCACCTCTGAAAATCACTGGGTCCAACCCCCTGCTAAAGCAGGTTCCCTACAGTAGGTTGAGCAGGAAAGCCTCACACTTACACCGGTGTTTCCTATGCACGTTTGTAAATTTAGCTCTAGGATGTTCTTACTGAACATGCATGTGAATCTGGGTGCTCTGCGCAGCTGGAGTGCAAGGGTTAATCTAAGGATAAGCTATCTTTGTGGCACGAACAGTGGGAGTGGTGCTGAGAGGGACTGTGGTGGATTTCAAAGGACAAAAAAACATGATACAAACGTGAGATTGCGGCTTTGGTTGGTAGCAGTACTTCCCTATGATTATTTTATTCCACGGGTTTTGTTAGCTTTATTTCCTCAGGAAGAGGAGCTCAAGTGCAACCACAACATCTGCGTGCTTGTCGTATGTAAGTCTTCCAGCTGTCAGCCAATCTCAAACACATTTGGCAGCAGAGGTCTCCCAGGTGGAATATTTCTATGAAATTTCTAAAATTAAGGAAGTTAGGTAGGAAAGAGCTCTTAATCTGCACAACGGAGAGTTCACATAATCATTTCTGTCAAGCTGGAGATTGATGCAGGAAGTCAGACTTCCCTGGTTTTGCTGCTCACAGGGCTACTTGTGCACTTATTAAAAACTTTCTAATTTTTGGATCCTGGTATTGTTATTTGGAATCTGGAGAGCTAGCTTTGGAATGAGAGTGAGCCCCAGGTAGCTCTGATCTATATTTCATGATATGAAGAGGGTTTTTTATTGATTGATTTGTTTTTAATGTATCCAGGGAACTGCTAGATAGTAAATGAAACAATTGAATGATATTAAAAGTGTATTGGAATTGCCAGTTTATTTGAAATAGAGAAATATCATAAAATCATACTTAATAAATCTTTGGTGTGCTGCACACTGTGCAACAGAATTGTTTCTCAGAAAATTGCAACATATAATTTAGATTTTTATCAATACTCATCCTCTCTGGAGGAATATTCTTTATTCTGAGACTGATGTACTTCCTGCAACTCCAGAAGAAACTGTATTCACTGATAAATGCCTGTTGTCACATGACAGGGATGTGCATGTCCATGTTGTGGCTCATGTCAGTTCATGTGGCCAAAGTTTGCTTTAAGAACATGGGAGCTGCACAGTTTTACTTTCCTGTGCGCTCTGCCTGTGGACAAAAGCAGTATGTTTTCACATATAATTCCTCATGTTCAGACCATTAGCTAAAAGAAACGCATTCTTTCATCTTTATCCACTATGTGGATCAAACTTTTCTTTCCTTCTTTGAACACAGTTTGAGTAAGCTACCTTTATGTTAATTTTAAAACTGACATTGGTATAGGGCATGCATAGGGCTTCTGAGAAACCCTTCTGAGAGGTATTGTGCTTCTAGCACTGAAGTCCTCTGATAGTTGACAGAATAGAATCAGTGCTGAGAGAGAAATGTAGTTTCTAAAACAAAAAAATGGGGCTTAATTTTTACCTGGAGGAACGATCTTGGGCTATGAGAAGATAGCTCATTCTCTGCATTTCTTTTAGTTTTTGTCCTTGAAGAACTAGTGGGGTGCTGTTTTACAGTGATGGATTTTATGATGTAGCAGCCACTTTAAAAAAAAAATAATACTTCTTGAATACAAACTGCTTTACAGTTACCATATGGTAACTTCTCTCAAGCACTGCAATCTTGGGCTGCACTGGAAGCAATGATTTAGAGCTATAGGGTTCCAGATCATGTTATCAGTTCCCAGATTATTGTAGCAAACTGGTGAAATTGGCATTGTATGCTGAAGGGGAAAATGTATCATTGAGAAAATGCTGTCAGCTAACTGTAGGACAGGTTTAATTTTAGTTTTTAGGAGGTCATTCTTACTGCCATTTCTACCTATGGGAACAGGATTTGTTCTCAGTAGTGCCAATGCTTCAAAGCAGGAATCAGCACCGAGGCAAGTTACAGAAGTGAGAGGGACTGCATCCTTGGGTAAAGTTAACACACATGGCTGATTTCAAGATTGGAGATAGAAATTGTAGTGATTGTAGTGTTAAAGTGAGCAAAACTTATTACTTGTGCATGAGTTTTGTTCTCTTCAGGTTTAAGTACATATTCTTTAAATGTGAAGGATAGCTGGAAATAGAAATGGAAATACCAAGCATCCCTGTCTGTTGTCACTTCAGGCAGATGTGATGCACCGCATCTCACTCTTCTTGGAGGCCAATAAACCAAAGCTGTGCTCAGCGGCAATGTGTCCCTGAGCTGAGGACTTTCCCTCTTGGCTTTTGCCTGAGCCCTGCAGCCAAGCAGGGTGCTGCAGTAGGGATCCTCAGTGAGCAGAGTGTGGGCTGTGTTGACCATTATCACTGAGGGTGGGGTTTTGTTTTGATTTTTTTCTTGGCTGTAGTCTTAGGTAATGGCGTAGGATAGCAGGAGAGTGCAGGAGAAGTAATGACCGCTAAAACCTCAGACTGACATTATCTTTTTTTCAGCTCCTTGAGTACTCTAGGATGCTGCATGTGGAATTAGATGATGTTTTTGGCTGGTCCTGACTCTATTTTATCTTTTGGTTTTGTAGGACTAATGCTATTTTAGTAGTATTGTGTAAGATGTAATCAATACTGGTATCTATTAGCATCTCAAATGTTGACGTAAGTCTTGGATTCTGATGGTGCTACTGAACTTCAGATAGGTTGCGGTTCAAATGGGTACTTCAGGAGGAAGTGAAACTTCTGTGGCTTAAGATGCATGTTTCTGTGGTTTTCTTCACACCAGAAGTCTAGAGAAGCCTGAAGAAGTTAAAAGATTCTTCAGAAGATTTGAGCCATCCTTTCTGTTCAGATTTTAGGTTGAGGTAAGCTAGGCTTAGAAAAGTAGATGACTTAATTTGCTTCCATTGACAGTGAAGTTGTTGAGTAAATACACTTGCATGAGTCAATCTGTGTAGGTCAGGGCCTTTATCGTGTTTTTGGGGAAACTTCCAGTTTTGTGGTGTTAATGTGATATTTAAAGTCAGTCTTCATATTGGAAGACTTCAGTGGGGTTCATGTCCTTTGTTCGCATGTGCCCAAAGCACCTCCTAATCTTGTAAAAAGGAGACAGTACAAGTGTTTTACTTGTGGTGTGAATGACAGAGCATAAATGCATTCAGGTCTCAGGTATGCTTGCCAGGATCAGTGGCCCCACAGCAAAACAGTGGTAGTAGCAGAGGACATGCTTATGTTCAGTCCAGCTCCGAATGCTTATCTTTAGTTCAGCAGACCTTCTGATGCTTCTACTTTGTGCTTGTGAAGTGCACTGTCGGGAATTAAATACAGACCTATGCTAAAGGTTTCAAAAATTTCTTCACCCTCTCAAGTTGTAGGAAAAGACAGTGCTTTTGTGAGGGTATTTAAAGAGTAATTAGAGGGTGCTCTGAATCTCTTGTGTATTGCAGTTGTGCAGTTTTATACTGTTTTGGCAGTCAGCCAGGTGAAGACATAAAACAAATTAATACTGAACAATTCTTTGTTAATAAGCTATTTTTAAGCATGGTTAGATAACAAAATTAATGTTTATGCTTGGAGTTGGAAAAAATAAGCCTGAATAACATGTAGCAGTCTCTTGCTTTTCAAGAACGTTTTATTGGAAACTAAGATCGCAACCTACACAAGTAACCACAAAGCAATAATAAATAAGAAGCCTCCCAAGCTCTTGTGTACAGATTGCTCTACCTTTCTGTATTTCTCTGTACTCTTTGAATTTCTGATTGCCTTTGCCAACCCATTTGTTCAACACAACTATTCTCTTTTGTCAGAATCTACCCCAGTGTCCAGAAATTGGAAGTTGCTGGCGATGCTCTCTGTGGTGCAGGCTTTCTTGATTCATATGGCCTATACTGTTTGCTGTCTTGGGCTGTGGAGACTGGTGATGGACTTCTGATTATTTGGTTTAGGTGGTCTTCTGGGCTGATTCCTAGGTGTTATTTCAGTAGGTGTTAGTTACTGATGTGTGCATCAGAACGGAGAAATACTTAACTCTCTGTTCAAAACAAGCTTCACTGAAAAATGAATACAAAATTAATGTATAGGCAATGTTCTGGTATTCAAAAGATACTTTTGCCTGTTTCTTGTTGGTGTTTGTTTTTTCCACAGATTAGCCAAAAAATGTTAGTTTCGAAAAGCTGTTGTGTAGTTGAGAAAGGAGATCTGAAGATAAACAAGGTCTGTTTTTTACTATAAAGTAA